AGCACCTACTGCTCTAAGGCTCTGGAATTCCAGGCCCCCCTGGTATTCAATGAAATTTTCAGAATCCCTGTGCATTCAAGCATGTTGACGTTGAAGTCACTGCAGCTGTACGTGTGTGCGCTGACTCAGCAGCTGCAGGAGGAACTGCTGGTGCGTCCTTCCCCTCCCTCCGCCGCCCCTCCCCTGCCTCTCTTTGTGTTCCCAACAGTGTTTGTCTCTCTCCTGCCCCTTCCCTTCTTGTCTTTCTGCCTTTCTTTGTTTTGGTCTTTCGTTCTTTCTTGTTGCTCCATCTTTTGTCCTTTCTTTGTTTTTGTCTTCTTTGTCTGTCTGCCCACCTTTCTCTCTCCTTTGTCTCTGTCTCTGCCTCCCCTCATTCCTTCCTGTCTCCCTCCTACCCTCCCTCCCCTCCTTCCTTTTTCCGGTGGTGGGCTGCTTAGAAATTGTCCTGTGAAGTGATCTCTGCAGCTGGGAGTACAGAAAGGGATTTGTCTTGCCAAGTGTGCTTTAAATATAGTAACTTTAAATATATTATCTCAACTAACCCTTGCAAGACTTCTGTAAGACCCCCATTTTCAGTTGAGGGAACTAAGTAGGGTTGAAAAATTGGGCAAATAAAAATAGAGGATGGTCGGTTAAACGTGAATTTCAGATAAGCTGTGGATTCTTTATTAAGATAGGTATGTCCCATGCAATATTTGGGACATACTTACACTGTAAAGAAATCCATTGTTTATTTGAAATTCACATGTACAGGCTGCTCTCGGTTTTACCTGGTCCTCCTTGAACTGGGAGTGCGAGCAGCTTGTGCTCAGTACCCCAACCACACCCTGTCCAGGGCTGTGACCCAGCAGCAAGGATGGTATCTTTGTGAGGTTGGAATTTCTCCCCTTGGTCTCACCCCTCGGCTTTAGAATTAGATGGTGCAGTTCGGCCAGCCCTCTCTTGTTTCCGGAATCTCCGAGTGATTCCGCAGCTCATCGGTGGGCAGACCCTGAGCCTGACCTCCCCTCCCCCACGTTGTCCACTCTCTGCCCCCGTCCCTCTCGGCACCTCCCTACGGGGCTGAAGCAGTGGTCCAGGAGCCGCCTTCAAGGATACCCTCTGTTACCACTTTCATTTCACTGCAGTCCTTTGGAGAGCAATGACACATTCTGCGTTTCCGGTTACAAGGTTACAATCGAAGGGCAACCCTGATGTTTTATGAGATTCTCCTTGGTAAGGTGAAATCATTCTGCTTTTTTTTTTAAAACACCTGTGCAGGGCATTGCTCAGATCAACCTGGCCGACTACGACGGGTCCAGCGAAATGCAGCTGCGCTGGTACGCGGTGCAGGTGTTCAGCAGCTGCGGGCCGCCCAGGGCGAGGGAGAGCGAGCGGCTGGGGGCTGCTGCTGGGGACCCCACACAAGCTGCCACCGCCGGGAAGACGGTACGTGTGTCCACCTCTCGTGCTGCGGGCACCCACTGTCCCAGGGGCTTCGTCTCTCACGAGCGTCTCTGCGCACTTAGCGTGGGAGCGCAGCGGTGCCCAAGAGGCAGGTTCTAGGGAAGGCACGGGAATGGGAGGTTTCGGTGTGTGTGGCCGTTCACGACCGTGGCTTTAATGTAGACGAGCTAGTGATGGGGGGTGGCGCGTTGGTGGTTTTAAAACTTCAGCCCTCAGAGCTGCACGAGGTGGCCCGGCCCTGTCCCGCTGGCGCGGTGGGCACCCCTTGCCCCTGGAGAGTTGCTGAGGGCGGCCAGCCAGGGCTCAGGCGCTGACCTTGTATCCCCCGCAGGATGCGGTGACGGCGCTGCTGGCCAGAACCACAGCCCAGCTGCAGGCCGTGGAGCGCGAGCTGGCCGAGGAACGGGTGAAGCTGGAGTGCGCGGAGGACGAGATCCTCGAGCTGGGGCGGAAGGAGGAGCTGGCCGAGGCCGTGTCCGAGAGGTACCGGAGGCGGCCTGTTGGCCGAGCCTTGACTCCGCGGCGGCCGCTGTGCAGTGGTGGCGCCACACAGTAGATGGGCCAGTGCCGCGAGGGAATGGACTTCTGTCCGATCCCTTCTGGAAGCACCTTGGTACTGCTTTACTTCCACATTTTCCACGAAGAGCATCCTGTTTCCAAAGCTTCCTGCTGCTTCTGAAGGGCTTTGCCTGGATTTACTGCAGGGAGGGAAGTTCATGGCCGAGGGCTAGAGTGTGGTATTCAGAGGCTGGCGGGAAGCCGGGCGGGGGTGGGGGAGGCTGGGAGCGAGGGCTCAGGGTGCTGACCTTGGGTGCTAGAGACACACAGGCCCTCTTACTGCAAGGCCTCATCGTGTCGTGTCCCCCTAGAGAACAGGCCCTTGGACCTGATGGGAAGAGTGCCTGTGTGCGACCACTGACAGTGCGTAGGTCTCGCTGGGTGCTTCTGCGGCAGGGCACCCGCTCCCGTGATGTGCTGTTTCCCCAGTTTTGTAAGAAACAGTATCTTTTGTTTTTGTGACACGTCCGTTCTGGCGAGGGATTTTTACCAATTCAATGGTGGTTACACAGAATGTTTTATGTATGGGATGGGGAGGAAGGGGAAGATCCACAAAATGCAAAACAGGAAATCCTGGAGAGCTGTTACCATCGGTTCAACTCACCCCACACTAGTAAAATTCATGGGAGAATCCCTGATAAAGGACAGAGGGCAGGGCGGACGGAGGAAGTTGGGGAAGAAAAGAGGAAGGGGAAGAAGGCCACCTTGACCCACACGCTGGGGGCTTCTGCAACGTCTGTCTGCAGGAGCTGGCAGGCTGACTCGGTGGACAGCGGCTGCAGCAGCTGTGCCCAGACCAGCCCCCCACACCCGGAGCCCTGCTGCGTGGGCGGCGACCCCCTCCACGGACATACATTTGCTGGCCAGGCCGACCCTTACAGCCCCGAGAAACTTCAGCCCCCACCTCTAAAGGTGAGTGGAAAGGCTCAGGGGACTTTTGGGGCTCCCCGATGGTCTGCCGCCCAGCCCCTGGCACGGCCCTGGAAGGAGGGCGTGTGTGCCCCCCACCCCCACGAAACGGGAGGGGATGGGTGGAGGAGACGGACGAGATGAAGCTGACAGGCTCCGACGTGAGAGCAGAACGCCATGGCTTACCTGCAGACTCTCCCTGTGACAGTGGCTGTGGGGGCCGTGTGGCTGTTGGATCAGAGGGCTATAGCCCAGGGGCATTTCTCAGAGAGCCGAGGGAGAGAAGGGAAGGGCCTAAATCTGTAGATGGCTTAACATGGGCACAGCAGGTACCGCAGAAATGTCCCCGACTCTGAGTTGAAAAGAAAGAACAGCTTCAGCTAGAAAGGGCAGATCGGGACTCCGTGTCGCCCGGCGGTGACCCGCTCCCATCTTCAGTGCCCCACATGGCTCAGGAGGTCTCACGTGTCATCGCTTGGACGCGTCTCCTCTCTTTGCTCCCCTTGCGACGTTAGGCACTACGAAGTGGCCCTTGGCCCCATCGCCCCTTCTGTTCACCCGATCTTAGCTGTGCCCAGGGCCACGTTTTCAGCGAGGATGTCTTTCACGTTTGCCGTGACAGATGTCTAAGGAAGCCTGTGAGGTTGGGAGACGCTACCTCCATGCTCTGGGGAAAGTTTTCTCCCAAACGTTCAACTCCTCGAACTGTCTCATCATCGTGACCCCCACTGTCACCCCAAAGCACAAGTCCCGAGAGACATGGTGTCAGCTTCCCAACTGCACACGTGCGGCTGCTCTACACAAGCGGTTCTGTGGCCCGGCCTCCCAGTGGTTGCTGGGGGTCAGCGTTTTAAGACCTTTTAAAGTATGGGCTCGAATGGGGGAGGGGGCTGTGGGAGGTGAGTTTGGTGTGCGGTCGTCATGCCCATCCCCCAACCCCAATTTTAATTTTGAAATACTTCAAACCTACAAATTGCTCGAGTAATGGAACAAATACCCATATGTTCTTCACCGGAACTCCCCAGCTGTTTGTTCTTGACCGCATTCTCTCTCTGCATATGCACGTGGGCGGGCGCTGGGCAGTGTAGATGCGGCCATGAAGAAAATGAATGGGAAATCCTGCCCTGGTTGTGGGGTGGGTGGCAACACGGTCACTCAGCAGACACAGCCGTGCTTGAGACGAGGGCTGCTGGAGGACAGGATGGTAGGGAAGTGCGGTTTGCATTTTTAGAAAGATTTCCTATTTTAGAAGGGGTTTACATTTAGAGATTTGCGGGGCACCTGGGTGGCTCAGTCATTAAGTGTCTGCCTTCAGCTCAGGTCATGATCGCAGGGTCCTGGGATTGAGCCCCGTATCGGGCTCTCTGCTTGGTGGGGAGTCTGCTTCTCCCTCTCTCACTCCTCCTTCTGTGTTCCCTCTCTTGCTGTCTCTGTCTCTCTGTCAAAAAAAAAAAATATATATATAGATAGATAGATAGATAGATTTGCATCTATATTATATTTACTTATTTTTAAAAAGATTTTATTTATTTATTTGATAGATGGAGATCATAAGCAGGCAGAGAGGTAGGGAGAGGGAGAAGAGACTCCTTGCTGAGCAGAGAGCCTGATGGGGGGCTCCATCCCAGGAGGTCATGTGAGATCATGACCTGAACTGAAGACAGAGGCTTAACCCACTGAGCCACCCAGGTGCCCCTGCATTTATATTTTAGATCGGGATTGTAAAATGGTGCAGCCTGTACGGATAAAAGTATAGAGGTTCCTCCAAAACTTAGAACTGCCGTATGATCCAATTATCCCACTTCGGGATATATATCCAAAAAAGTTGACCTCAGAGTCTCCAAGAGATGTTTGCACACCATTGTTCCTAGAGATAGAAGGAGCCCAGTGTCCATCGTCAGATGAATGGATAAGGAAAAGGTGGTCTGTCCAAGCAGCGGAGTGTCATACGGTCTTCAAAAAGAAAGAAATCCTCTTAGATTCTACAACACAGGCAGACCTTAAAGACACTGTGCTCAGAGAAATGAGCCAGCCATGGGAGGGAGAATACAGTACGATTCCACTTACAGGTTCATGTGGACAGGAACTACATACAAAGGTGGTCACTAGGGGACAGGAGGATAGGGAGTTGTTTAATGTGGACAGAGGCCATTTGGGAAGATGAAGAATTTCTAGAGCTCTGTTTCCCAAGCACATGAATGTATTTAAAACTACTGAACTGTACACTGAAAACCGGTTAAGCTGTATTTTACATGTTTCATACAATAAAAAAGGATGAAAGGTCGTGGAAGCCTCACGGAGAATGCGGTTTTTGAACAGAAGCCTCAAGGCAGGAGACTCCGGAGCCTTGTGGGGGGCTGGAAAGAGCACTCAGGTGCAGGGAGCTGCGAGTGCAGGCCCACGAGTGGGGGGCTTCAGGGGGCTGACGACAGGAGAGCAGTGAGACCAGTGTGGGGCGGGGGGGGGGGGCAAGGCGGTCGTCGGAGCCGAGTGCAGAGGGAAGCGAAAGGACCAGATCATGCAGGGCCCACTGTGGACTCTCCCTTTCCTCTGAGATGATGAGGAATGTGGTGGGTGGTTCTGAGCACAAGGTTGACATGATCTGACTTAATGTTTTCTGTGGATTTTTTTCTTCTTTCTTTCTTTTTTTTTCTTTTTAAATTTGAGAGAGTGTGCGTGTGAGGGGGTGGGGTGCGGGTGGGGGCAGAGGGAGAGAGAATCCCAAGCAGACTCCACATTGAGCGCAGAACCCGGCCCAGGGCTTGAGATCATGACCTGAGCTGAAATCAAGAGTTGGCTGCTTAACCGACTGAGCCACCCAGGCACCCCATGATTTTTCTTTTTCTAAAATTGGCATGAAATGTACAGAAGATGAAGGGAACTTACTTCACAGTGAACAGTTCAGAGGCATTTAGCATGTTCACAACGTGGGCGGCCCCTGCTCTGTCCAGTTCCAAAAGCTTTCCATCATCCCGACGTAAAGCCTCGCACCTGTGAGACTGTCGCTCGCCAGCCCGTCTCCCCCAGCCCCTGGCAACCCCCAGTCTGCTTTCTGCCTAGGAATTTGCCTGTTCTGGGACCTTCCCTCTGTTCCGTGGCTGAGTAGTATTTCCTTGATTGGTGGTCCGCTCTTTGGTTATCCGTCCATCCATGCATGGACGCTCGGGCTGTTTTTACCTTTTGGCTACGTGAATAACGCCGCAGTGATTATTCGCGTGCAAGTGTTTGTTCGAACCCCTGTGTTCAGCTCTCTTGAGTGAATGTCTGGGAGTGGAACTGCTGCCTCTAACCAGCTTTACCAGGCTCTCCCTCGTTGCTGGGTTGAGTGGAGACTGCAGCCGGGAAGGAGTTGTGGAACCGGGGAGACCAGTTAGGCACGAGATGATAGTGACCCAAATGGAAGGCTGGTGGCAAGTGGTCAAAGCATGCATCCGCATGGGGCGCCTGGGGGGCTCAGCCAGTGAAGCGTCTGCCTTCGGCTCGGGCCATGATCCCAGAGTCCCGGGATCGAGTCCCACATCCGGCTCCCTGTTCAGTGGGGAGCCTGCTTCTCCCTCTCCCACTCCCCCTGCTTGTGTTCCCTCTCTCGCTGTCTCTCTCTGTAAAAATAATAAGTAAATTATCTTTTAAAAAAAAAATGTCTAAGTGGAGAAGGCCAGGGGCGTTCATGTGACGCTTATCACTCATGTCCTTAAACAAGTCACGGTAATAACGAACTACTCTCTAGGTCGATAAAGAAACCAACACAGAAGACGTCTTCCTGGACGAAGTGGCGAGTCTCCCGAAGGAGAGGCCCGGCCGCAGGGCCCGAGGGTCGCCTTTCGTTCGGAGTAGCACAATTGTGCGGTCGCAGACCTTCTCCCCTGGAGCGCGAAGCCAGTACGTTTGCAGAGTAAGTTGAAATTCCTTTGCCGCTTGTCTGAGATGTTTTCTTTTTTCCTGCCCCCCGTTGTGTCTCGTTTTTACTGTTCATCCTGAAAGACCTGTGTGTTTCCCCGAGTGCCGGCGACCAGCGCGGTGCGCCGGGGCTGTGCGATCCGTGTGGCTGCTCCTTCTCACCCCTCGCCCGTGCCTGTCGCCCTGTGGGTGTCCTCAAGATTCTCATACATTTCTCCCCGGATTGTCATTTCGTGTGTGCTCCGGTTCACGGCCGGGAAGCCCAGAGAATCGTTTCCACAGTGGCCTGTGGAGTAACGGGTCGGAACAGGGAGTATCCTGAATTGGGTTGAGGTTGGGAAATCAGGCCACTGAGCGGTCAGGAGTCCTGGCGTGTCACTCAGCCGGCTCCCAGGGCAGACAGCAGCGCCGAAGACTCGGGACACGGAGGCCGGGTTCGGAGCCCCCGGCACGTAAATTCTCAGCTCGAGGGGATGGCGGGAGACAACGGTGGTTCTCAGCCGGGGCTGTGCCCTGCTCTGAAGTTGTGTCAGTGCCGTTGAGGGTGGAGGTGGGGCCTCCTAGAATGCTGGTGCCCAGGTGCCACCCTCGGGATTCATGGTGCTTCACTGAGGTGCGGCTTGGGAAGGGCCCCTGGTGATTCTGATGTTGAGAACCCCACTGTGGTCCTTGAAGATAGGACCACATGTTGGAGCTTGGCTGGCAGCGGGCTGCGACAGTGACAGGACGGATTAGGAAAGAGAAGGGCACTTGAAGGATAAATGGTCATGATCCAGGGGCTGATGGGGCTGTTTGGGTCGACGAGAACTTGGACCCTCCCCACCTCTGAACTGGGGCGTTGAAGCAACACACGTTCCCTTGACGGGGACTGCCGGGGAGCTGGCTGCGTCTCAGTCACGCGAGGAAAACGGGCTCGGGCGTGTGTGGGAGACGAGACACCAGGAGTATGGTTCGGGGGGTCCCCTCGCCCACACTCAGTTTCCGTAACTTACTAGGACCCACAGAACTCAGCCAAGCCGCTATATTCACAGTTGTGGTTTCTTATGGTGAAAGGATCTAGACCCAGGTCAGCAGAGGGAAGAGGCACATCGGGCGGCGCTCAGGGAGACCTGCCGCAAGCTTCTGGGTCTCTTCCAGCGGGATTGTGCGGACGGCTCTGGTCACCCGTCCCTGCTGGGAGAGGCCGCCCGCGTGGAGTGTTGCCAGCCGGGTTTTGTGGGAGGTGGTCACAGAGCGCTGATTGCCTGCATGCCTGACCTTCGTCTCCAGCCCCTCCACAGGTCAAGCTGATGGCCTACGGCCCCCACTATAAATCACATTGTTGGCAGGGACTGGCCTGGCTCGAGGTCCCCAGATAAACAGAGACACTCAGACAGGACTTTCCAGGGCGTTATCGGTCACTTCTGGCAAGGACCAGACCCTTCTTGGAGCAAAGTTAATCCTTTAACTTGAGGCATAGTGGGGCGGGGGGGGGGGGGGGGGGCGAAGAACAGCGGGGGGCAGGGCCAGGTGGCCCAAGCTGCCCCGGGGCCATTTGCAGGACCTGCCTCGCTTGTCCCCGCAGAAGCAAGGTGTCCCGTCGTGGCTGCCCTGGGTCCCACTGGTCAGGCTCGGGCACTCTGGCCTCATCAGGCTGTAGCTCCCCGGAGGCTTGTGCTCAACCAGACACCTGCCTGGAGGCTCTAGACCCAGGGCTGCCCTCTCGTCCCTTCCTCACCGTAGGCTGTTGCCAACCCAGCACAGAGCGCGCCCGGGTCTGCTGTGTGGCGGAGCAGGAGACCTTCCCCAGAGGAGGGTGTCCAGCTCCTATGCTGGCTTCCATGCCCTGCGTACAAGCATTTGCAGTTGATGCTTTTAGAGGCTTCGTCGTTTTTCTCTGTTGCCCGTGATCGAGCGAGGGGACACGGACACTGCCACGCCACGGCCTTCGCTGGGTCTCTGGGCTTAGCTGGCGTGGGAGAGCAGCCACGGAGCTAGGGGCCGTGGCTTTCACACAGATGCACACTGACCCCGAAGCAGGAACCCGCCACCGGCTGTCTTGGCTCCCATGAAGAAGGTGTTATTTCTTGTTCTCTTTAAAAGCAGACTTTTCCCTGGACGGGCACAGTGGCTGTTAGTGGTGTTGGCTTGTCCCACTACCAGCAACAGGTCTCTTCTTAGAAAGTCATTCTTTTTCCAGCTCTTGGCAAAGCCAGGAATAGAGCAAGCTAGAAGGACTGAGAGCAAATGAGAGGTACCCAGGCCACTGCTGGCTCGGTGAGCGCCGCAGGGCCCCGAGAGTCCCTGTTGGTGCTGGCGGGGCGGGAGGCTTGTTGACGCCACCCCCCTGGAAGCGTCCCACGGTTCGGGTGACATGTCATGTGAGGGACGGTGGGGGGTCGGTTTGCTTACTTGGTTTGTTCGGGTTTGTCTTTGATCTTACTTGGTACTTGAAGTAGATTTCGTCCTCGAGCCCAGAAGGCGGAGTTCAAGTGCCCATCTTATCGGTGCGTTGGCGCCCTGTGAGGCGACGGGGAATCACGCAGTTCAGATACACAGAGAGCGTGAATAGTGCATTTCTGAGAAAGTATTTCTGAACATCATTCTTTTTGGCACAGCTTTACCGGAGTGACAGCGACAGTTCAACGCTGCCCCGGAAGTCCCCGTTTGTCCGAAACACCTTGGAAAGACGGACCCTTCGCTACAAGCAGGTACGTGCCACATAAACTCGTACGGAACCTGGCCTTACCCTGGGAGTTGTATTACAGAGCTTAGATGGTAAGAGTTTACGTAACATTCATTTAAAGGGAATATATTTTGTAAAGAGGCATTTATTTTCTTCTTTACTGAGGTATGATTTTCAGGAGCCTATATAATGTCAAAATGTTACCAATATTTCTTAATTTCCTAGGATAACATCATGATCTAAGATAATTCATGATCTTTGCATCTTTAAATATAATAAACTAACAGCCAACCAATCTATATGAAAGACCCTCTTTTCTTTTTCGACAAGGGGTACGTACGAGAAATTTGTGTTTTTCAGCATAGGGCGGTCTTCTACATGGGCCTTTCCTGTTGTTTCCATTTACTTTACCTGCCGAGTGTTTTCTCCCCGCGGCGTCAGTTTACAGAGTTTTGTTGCTTTTTATTTGTAAGCAAGCAGTTCCTTGTCTTTTTTAGGCTAAGATTCTTTCAAAGAAATAATAAATCCAGATTTCCTTGTGGTGCCTATATTTAGAGCAGCTGCTGACTGGGAACGAGAAGAAAAGACAATTCAGCCACAAAAGTGTGTCTCAGCAGCAGCGCTGTTGACACTTCGGACTGGGTCACGGTTGTGGGGGGCTGCCCTGTGCTCCCCACCCCCACTTGTGACAACCAAACTTGTCTCCCGACACTGCCCAGCGCCCCCTGGTGGGCCAGGTCACCCCTGCTTGAGAACTGCTGAGCTCTACTGGGAACTGAGCAGGGCTTTTTTTTTTTTTTTTTTTTTAACATTTTATTTAATTTTCAGAGAGAGTAGGCAGAGAGAGAGGAGGAAGCAGGCTCCCTGCTGAGCAGAGAGCCCGATGTGAGGCTTGATCCCAGGACCCTGGGATCATGACCTGAGCCAAAGGCAGAGGCTTTAACCCACTGAGCCACCCAGGCACCCCCTGAGCAGGGCTTTTTAAGTAAACTTGGTTTCTTAAGTTAGATCGTGAGTTTGCGTTCCAGTTCTGTATGTGTGCGGAATAGTGTTTCGTGCATGTAAAAAGCCTACAGTTATCCAGCCCACTGAACAGCGCTGCTGTGGGTTAACTGCCTTTCCTGGGGTCGTTTCCCATTGGGTGGGAAGTACTGTTCCCAGCAGCACACGCAAAATTCTTCTCTCATCTTAGGACTTTTCTTAAACGTGGCAGGTTTGCTTACTTGAGCCTTATATGGGAAGGAAAGGTTTGATAGCTTGCATGTGGGTACATATAATCTTTTAAACAAAGGCACCCAGATGATTTATGACAGGGTTTTCCCCCTTTATACCAGGGATCATTTAAGATTTTCCAATATATTTTTTTGACTTTTTACAGTGTGGCTGTATTTTCTGCTGGCCTTATAATTTACTTAATCCGTTTCCTCTTGTTACGTATTTAGGTTTTCTCTATCCTAAACTTTAATTGCATCACTTCTGCATGTTATGAGTTGTGCCTTTCAAATGCAAATTAAAATGAAATTTCAGAACCAAAGAAAATGTACATTTTGTCGCTTGATGTGTATTGGCAAGTAGAACTTGAGAAAGATTGTACCATTTTTTGTTAAGATTTTATTTATTTATTTGAGAGAGAGTGAGAGAGAGCATGAGAGGGGAGAAGGTCAGAAGGGGAAGCAGACTGCCCGTGGAGCTGGCAGCCCGATGTGGGACTCGATCCTGGACTCCAGGATCATGACAGCCGAAGGCCGCCGCTTAACCAACTGAACCACCCAGGCGCCCTGTACCCATTTTTTATTACTTTTTTCTTTTGAAAATCATACCCATTTTTGACCCCAGCAGCTCCATATGAGAGGGTCTCTTCCTCCGCATTTTTGCAAATGCACAGGTCACCATTAGAGCAGACCGTTGGCATCACTAACTTGATACTGCACTAGAGACTTAAATTAATCTCGCCCAAATCTCTGTTTGTCTGATATTGGCTATGATGTCAGGGAGAAACACTGTCCCCACCCATCATGGAAGGACCTCGCCCCCGGCTGAGGTCACTGGCTGTGGCCCCCCTGCTCCCCCGCCCTCCCGCCGGGCCCGGCTCAGCGTGTGTGCTCACAGCTGCCGTCCCCGCAGCCCTGCAGGTCCTCCCTGGCCGAGCTCATGGCCCGCACCTCCCTGGACCTGGAGCTGGATCTCCAGGCCTCCAGAACGCGCCAGAGGCAGCTGAACGAGGAGATCTGCACCCTGCGGGAAATGAGGCAGCGGCTAGAAGACGCGCAGCTCCGAGGCCAGACCGACCTCCCACACTGGGTGCTGCGGGACGAGCGGTTCCGGAGCCTGCTGAAGGAAGCCGAGAGGCAGGTAAGAGGCCCCGGGCCCCGCCTGGCGAGGCCCGCTACGGAGTCCCACCGGCATCCGGGGCCTGCCTGGTCATGATGATGAAGCTGTACTTTGAACACTCCCTGGGCTCCTCTGAAGGGACTGGGTTTCTCCCTCCGTGGGCCAGGCAGCTGGTGCTCCCTCAGGTGGGGGCTGCTGGAGGGCAGGATCCCCAGACCCTCCTGCTGGCATCGCCACCCTCTGCTTTGTAGTGGAGTGTTCTGGGTCCGGTGTCTGCCAGGCACGACCCCAAGGCCCCCCGGGAGCGCCTGTGAAGATCCGCCGTTGCCGGGGTGTGTGTGGATGGGGCACCCTTTCTCCCTTCTGGGAGCCCAGCGCCCCAGTGGCTTTATTCCTTCTTCCTCAAAACTAGAAGTAATAATATCTCGTTCATCCAATGTTGCCGTTCCAGACAAGACAGACCAAACTTGACTTCCATCAAGAACAGGCAGCTGAGAAGATGCTGAAGAAGGCCTCCAGGGGGGTGTGCCAGCTGCGCGGCCAGAACCACCAGGAGCCCGTCCAGGTGCAGACCTTCAGGTAGGGAGGGCCGCGACCCACCTCCTGGCTTGCTTCTTACTGCCTTGCCGTTGTCATTATACAAAGTGAAAAACATGAACAAATAAACCCCACAGGCACTTAAGAATAAAAGCGAAGTCCCCACTGCTATTAGCTTTTTGCCTTTTGATCCTTTTGTCTAGATACTAGTTTTGTACATGCTGCCCACCATCATCATGGGTTCAAGTGTGCATTTAGCTTTTTTTTTCCCTAAATGAAAATATCCTGCATTGCCACATAATCTGTCCTCTTTTTTGGCTGTAATGTTTCACCTAAGATGTAATTTGCCTAACTACTCTATTTTCGTTTTTGGTTTTTTTTTTAAGATTTTATTTATTTATTTGACAGAGAGAGATCGCAAGTAGGCAGAGAGGCAGGCAGAGAGAGAGGAGGGAGCAGGCTCCCTGCTGAGCAGAGAGCCCGATGCGGGGCTCGATCCCAGGACCCCAAGATCATGATCTGAGCCGAAGGCAGAGGCTTTAACCCACTGAGCCACCCAGGCGCCCCATAACTACTTTATTTTGTAACCTTCTTTCCCAGTATTTGTTATTGTGAACAGCACAGTGGTTTTACACACATATATTTATACACACACGTATCAGCTTTGCCTTTTTACTTTAACAGAAGCATAACAGACATTTAGGAAAGCGTGCATTTTGTGTGTATAAAACTGGTAAGGTGTCACAACCCCACGTGGCAAGAATCGAACATTATTCTCCACCCCAGCCCCCCGATTTCCACACCAGAATAATCACTGTCTTAAATTTGAATAGTGTATGGTAGTTTTCCCTGTTTTTGTTTCTCGTATGAGGAGAGTTACGGTGACATCTATATTCTTTTGTGTCTGACTTTTTAAAAAATCGAGGCAAAAGTCACATAGCGTACAAGTCAGCATTTTAAAGTGAGCGGCTCCATGCCATTTAGTGCAGTCACAGCGATGCGCACCTGTCCCCTCTGTCCAGTTCCAGAACATTTCCTTCGCCCCAGAAGGAAACACTGTCCCCATGAAGCAGCCCCTCCCCGTCTCCTCCCCCGCCCCACAACCCCTGCCCTCCCCCAGGCTTTGCTGGTTCTGGACACTCAGTATAAGTGGGGTCCTACGCTGTGTGATCCTTTGTGCTTGGCCGCTCTGACTTAGGATAATGTGGGGCTTCATAACTCGTATTAAAATTTAGAGAATTGGGTGCCTGGGTGGCTCAGCGGGTTAAAGCCTCTGCCTTCAGCTCAGGTCATGATCTCAGGGTCCTGGGATCGAGCCCTGCATCGGGCTCCTCTGCTCGGCGGGGAGCCTGCTTCCTCCTCTCTCTCTGCCTGCCTCTGCCTGCTTGTGATCTCTGTCTGTCAAATAAATAAAATCTTTAAAAAAATAAAATAAAATTTAGAGAATCTGTATAGAGACAGATGTGTTGTGAGGAACAGAAGTTCAGTTTTCTTGTATGAGTGAGAAAAGCTGTCATCGATCTGAGAGCTTTCGTTGCATTTGCATCCACTCCTAACCTGTAATCCTTTCCAATCCCAGGGAGAAGATAGCATTTTTTACAAGACCAAGGATTAATGTGCCTCCTCTGCCTGCCGACGACGTTTGACATAGTGCTTTGTACACATGAAGTATTTATCCGCCTGTTTTATTTTCATGAAGTTCTTAGACTAGCTAAATTTGTCCTTAAAATATTTGTGCAAAGCTATTAATATACACACTTTGTAAAAAAAACACACACATATATCTATACGTATATATTTTATAATAGTGACGGCAACAGGGCTTGGTTTTTCCTTGTTGTGAAACTGACATCTCTGAAAACAGGTTATTTTGTAAAAGAACAGCTGTCATGTTAAGAATGTACAGTTTTTACGCTGTTTTATTTGACTTAAAGGCTGGAAGACAGAAACAAAGTGAGTTCAGGCAAATTCACTGTATTGTAATTTATTTATAATACTTTTTTTCCTTGAAGGAAAATACGGACTTTAAGATGTATTTTAAAGACTAAACTTTTGTGCTTCAGTATTTGTCATGCGGTTACAATGGAGCTTTGGGGCCGGTTCTGTTTCTGCCACCCAGACCGCAAACACTCTGTGCTGAGCGCGTCACTTGTATCCGTTTCCCGCGCGTACCTACCGTGTATCTCGCACGCTCCGCACTCTGCCTTCGCTCATGGTCGCATGCGCTGTGCGAGCCGAGCTGTCCCCCATGTGGACGGCGCACCGGCCGCCTCTCCTGTCGCCTGCGTCTTTGTGCGCTCGCCGTGAGTCTGGGGCAGCCTCCCGGCCCCCGCAGCCCGGCCTCAGGCCTGCCCGTCCAGGGTGGCCGTCTGCACAGCCCGCCCTCAGCAGACCGCCGGCAGCCCCCCTGGGAGCCTGCCCCATCCGATGATCATGACCGACGAGGCCGCGTGGAGCCCCCGCACTACGGCTCTGTCACGAAGGGAAGCCACGAGAGCTAGGAGCGCGCGTTTTCGGAGAATCCTTGAGTCCGCGGGTGGACAGAGTGCTGTGACACAGACGTGATGGCCTCTGAAGGCGCTTGTCTGGGGAAGGAAGCGAGCACATGTGGGGAGCGACACTTGCCCAGGGAGTCACTTACAGGAGAGGATTTGATTTAAATCAAAATCCGCCCCCCACCCCCCCAATACTGGAGTCTGCCCAGTATTTCTTAAGAAATCTTAGAAAGCAGTTCATGAGCAAAAAAATTTTATGTAATAAAAATATACTGATATTCTTTTAAAATGTCAAATGATCTGAATGTTTTGCCGAATGCCTATTTATTATATAAGAACTGTACTCTCCTTTCCGAGGCCTCGGACACGTAAGCAAGGCAGGTCACATGAACCGCAAAGAAGACAGAACTCTCTTTCTCGATCTTTCTCCCCGTCCCTGGGAAACTTGCACCTTGAATTGGTGTCTCTCTCTCTCTCTCCTCGTTAGTCTGTAACTGGCCCCTTGCATAACCTGCCCGCCTCTTTCCATTGCTAAAATGCGTTTTGTAGAAGCATTTCATGGACGTGAGACCGCGGACAGACGGTGGGGCCTGTCACTGGCGCGGGGACTGGAGACACTGTGCTTTCACAGCACGGCCCTTGCTCCCCTTGCCGCCGCCAGTACCGCCGCGTCTGTCGGCTGGTTGCCCTGCGGCCGGAGCCCACGGCCGGGGGGAGAGACACCCAGGCCTGACCCCCCGCAGACCGCATGGCCAGGCAGTGATGACCACGGCAGGCCTTCCCCGTGCCCCAGCTCATGACACTTTGAACTCCAACGAAGAACTGTCTGCCACCAACTTGGGTGTCTCGGGGGCCCTGCTCCCAGGCTGCAGAGGAGTCCCCGGGCTGCGTTGCCTGGCGGCTGTTTCTCAGCACCTGCCACGCGGAGCGCTCGGGATGGGAGCTCGAGGCAACTTTTCCGCCTGCCCCTACCGGTAGCGGTCACTCCAGAAGGCCCTCAGCGTGGGGGTTTCAGTTAACCTCACCGCCCAGTGGGTCCAGCCTTCTGTTTGGGGCGCTTCCCCCCACACCCCAGAGTTTAGTTGGGTGTGCGTGTGTGTGCGCGCGCGCGTGTGCGTGTGTGTTTAAGAAGCTCTTCACCCCCCTAGAGACGAATACAGTCGCTACTCCAGTGTCAGTCCAAGGAGCACTTGGATTTGCCACCCAACTTCTCCCGCCTCCCTGCCAGGGTCTCCCTTTGCACCTGAATGGGACCAGAGTGAGCGGGAGGGAAAGGCCAGACAGATGGGGGAGGTGCAGGGTAGGGGGCTCTGTGCTGCTCCAGCCGGGCTCTGGGAGCGACAGGCCAGCCGAGCTGGCAGGCGGACAGGAGGCCCCATGATGGGCTTCTCTCTCCTGACCTGGTTTTGCAGCTTCTTCCTAGTGAAGACTGTCCCCCCCCGCCCCCGCACACACATCGGCAAAGTGAAGTCCTGTTGTCGGAAGGGCTGTTTCCGTCTTCTGCTTGAACTTGCCCGTAACTGTGCCTTGGGATAAGAAAGCTGCCGTGTCTGACCAGCGCTTCTGGCCCGCAGACAATCCCAAGTCCGCCACCAGGATTCTTTAGAAATCGTGCAGCGAGTAGGAGGGAATTTGGTCTTCACGTCATGCCATCCCTAAATTGTCACTGCTGAAATAACGTGTCCTGGGAATACGTTAGGATCAGTATTCATCTCTATTTTTGTCACTCTTCCCTCATTGTGTCATTTGTATCGTTTGAAAGTATTTCTTCTATAAAATTAAACTAACCTGCCTTAAGAACAGAATGGAAATGTGTGATTTTTTAAAAGAAAAATGTAATGACATGGGCTTAAATATATAAAAATATACTCATTTTTTTCGGGGCTCAGTCAGTTAAGCGTCCGACTCAGTTTTAGCTCGGGTCATGGTCTCGGGGCCCTGAGTTTGAGCCCCGTGTCGGGCTCTGTGCTCAGAATGAAGTCTGCTTGGGATTCTCTCTCTCCCTCTGCCTCCACCGTCCCCAACCCCTCCATCCCCCACGCATTCGATTTCTCTCTCTAAATAAATCTTTTTCAGAAAGTATTTTTTCCAACATAAAAACAAAGGTATATAAGTAGAATAAGAAAATGAACACACACGCGGCCCTCCCCCGCCCCAGCGCGCCCGGCTGTTTGGTCTACACCTCTACTCGTCTCCCCGCCGTGTGTCAGAGCAAATCCCACACGCCTTCTCAGTTGAGCTGTAAATACTTTCAGTATGCACCGCTAAAAGAGAAAGGCATGCACAGTATCCTTATCACATTTTAACATCTAATAACGTCTAACGTCATTAAATATGCAGGATTCACTTTTCCAAATGTCTCATACGTCATTTTTTAACCGAATAGAATCCAAATACATATTTATTAGGATTTTTTTGTGCCTGTGGGGGTTTATCTGGTAACAGTTCTCTTCAGGTACAATTCGCATCCCATATAGTTCACCTGTTTAAAGTGTGTAATCTGTCAGTTTGGGGCTACTCATAATTATGCAGGTGTCCCTACAATCAATTGTGGAACTTTTTCATCACCCCAGAAATAACCCCTGGACCCATTAATAGTCACCCCCAATTCTCCCTCCAAAGTCCTTGGCAACCTCTAACCTGTTCTCTGGCTGCGGATTTGTCTGTTTTGGATATTACAGATGAACGGAATCGCACTCTAGGTAGTCTTTTGGGTCTGGCTTCCTCCACCCTTCACCCAGCATTAGGTTTTCCCGATTCGTCCATGTCGTCGCGGGTGTCAAGACTTCATTCCTTGTCGTTGCTGAAGAATATCCCATTGCGTGGGTAGAGCACATCTTGTGTCTGCCTTCTATCAGTCGAAGGACATTTGGGCTGTCGCCACTACTTGGCTGATGTGAAGAATGCTGCCACCATCATTCACGTTCAAGTGTTTGTGTGGATGTGTGTTTTCATCTCTCTTCGACCTAAAGCTAAGGGTGGAAATGTCGGGTCAGGCGGTCACTCCGTGTTTCACCTTCTCCAGTCCCCACCAACAGTGCACGAGGGCTCTAATTCCTCCACATCCTGGCCAACAATTATGTCATTTTGATCGTGGCCGTCCTACTAGGTGCGAAGTGGTGGCTCGTAGTTGTGTCTGTCTTTAATCTACAGGATCTATTCCCCGCCCCAGTAACAGAGCAGGGTAATTTGTTGAAGAAACGACATTTCATGTTCTCGGAGCTTCCCCTGTTCTGGGTTTTGCTGATTGTATCCCTGTGGTGTAGCTTAAGGCGTTCCTGTTAATTCTATTGTCAAGGAATAAATACTGGTGAAAAAGCTGTTGTTGAATCTAGAAGCTTGACCAGGTTCCAGTTCATTTCCTTCTCCTTTTGGCGGGAGGTGGGGCAGGGAACAGACGGTGAGAATCATACGTTTATCTGTCAGGTGGCTTACAATGTCTTTTTTTTTTTTTTTAATGTTTGAAACTGTTGGTAAGCAATGCCTAGATCCATTTAACTCACTAAGGTGGCACAGGGTTGTTATTCTAATTTTATTAATTTTTTAAAACTTACTTTGAAATACCTTTATAAAAAGCCCATCCTTTTGGTTACCTAGTGGTACAGTTCCCATGAGTAAAGCAAGATAGATGCTTCATTTTTTTCTTTACTAACCAGTTTTAAAAATAATTATAGGGACGCCTGGGTGGCTCAGTTGTTAAGCGTCTGCCTTCGGCTCAGGTCATGATCCCAGGGTCCTGGAATAGAGCCCCATATCAGGCTCCCTGCTCAGCGGGAAGCCTGCTTCTCCCCCCGCCCCCGCCTGCCACTCCCCCTACTTGTGCGTGCACTCTCTCTCTCTCTCTCAAATAAATAAAATCTTTTTTAAAAAAATATTTTAAAAAAGAAAAAATAATGAATTACTTTCCTAGCACTGCACAGTGGTAAAAAATTTGGTTTGGGTTTTTGAAAAAAATAATTTTTTGCTATCGTCATTATGAACACACAATTTAAATACGTTTGGTGTGCTTTGACCCATTGGCCTTGTCCTTATTGATGCTTGAATTCTCCCGCCTTTGGCTGTGGGGAACCTCTTCTAGTTGGCTCCTGGGTCCTTATTTGTGTGTCCCCGGCATCTTAGCTGGCTTCCTTGCTAGCCCGTGTGACCTCATGTATCTGACCTAAAAGTGGGCGTTTCTCCAGGGAGGGTTGGTACTCATTGCGACTGGGCTTGTCATTGTTTTTAGGCCTTTTAGATAGATAGTATTTCCTTTTTTTTCTTCCCCCAGGATAAAGGGATGACAGACTGTCATATAATTACTCATTCGCTTTATCCCATATCACACACACACACCACAGTTCCAGAATAACAGAACCAACGTGAGCGCCAATAATCGAAGGACTGGAGACCGCCATTTTTTTCTCCGTTCTTTTAGTTTCTGAGGTGTGTCTCGCTAGGAATACATACTCAAATGTAGGGTTTTTTAAAAAAAGATTGTATTTATTTGAGAGAGAATGAGAGCGAGCATGAGAGAGGGATGGTCAGAGGGAGAAGCAGACCCCCTGCTGAGCAGGGAGCCTGATGTGGGACTCGATCCTGGGACTCCAGGATCATGACCTGAGCGGAAGGCAGTTGCTCAACCAACTGAGCCACTCAGGGGCCCAAATGCAGGGTGTTTTAAAGTAACTTGGAATCTTTCCATTCTCTGTGGCTATCATATTGCAATACATGCAAATACTGTTTAATACGTGTTTGTATTCGCTCCCCTCTCGGAAGAACAGCACACCAAACGCACTTCTCCACCTGGCTTTTGGCACTTAAAGATCTATCTTTAATTACCTTTGCAAAGACTCATTTTTTCCAAATAAGATCATGTTCACGAGTTAAAGAGGGACCTCTCTTTTAGAGGGTGACCATTCAACCCACTACCATCTGCCCTCTGGCTCCCCCAAATTCACATCCATTCCACATGCGAGATCCATCCACCGACCCTAACACCCCCCAGAGCGGCGGGGATAGGCCTCTCCATTCCCATTGACCTAATTTATCCAATACCCCCTTGTGTTTCTGGTCTTCTGTTATTAAAAATAATTCAGCCATGAAAACCTTCTGCAGACTTTTTTTCCCCGAGTTTTTCCAAGGGTTGCTGTGGGCTAGATCCCTAGAAGTGGGAGCTCTGGGTCAGAGGGTCAA